TTTTTTCCACATAATCGGCCCATATCTTAAAATGGAACGTTGCGACTTCCGACTCATTTTGCCAGAGCGGGTCACATATGGTTATGATGCTATTCCTCACGTGGAAGAGACACTTGCGAGCCATCTCTCCTCCGAGGCTGCATCACCTTTTAAGGCACCAGCATTACCCAGCAAGCCTCTAAGAAATACCTCGGTCTTTGGTGGGTAAAGCATTTTCGGTGGCAGGTCAGGCTGCGTCATATCTGCATACTATGTCCATCTTGCAGGCATACCGGGCTGTACTGCTAAGGGACGGGAGTGAGAGTGAGGAGGTCAGTGCTGACGTAGTTCGCGAACTGCGTCAGGCTGCTGATTTATCCCTGTGTGCCACCAGAGAGTCGGCCAAGCTAGTGGGTCAATTTATGGCAGCTCTGGTGGCCACAGAAAGACATCTTTGGTTAAATCAGATGAACATTAAAGAAAAAGCCCCCTGGGTTTATTTGGCGATGCTGTGAATTCTGTGATCGAAAAATTCCAGGAGGACAAAAAGCAAACAGCAGCTTTTAAAAAAATTCTCTCCTCCGAGTGAGAGGGACACTGAGGGTGGTCCCCACCGAGGAGGAAAGGTGTTCACCTCTTTTTACGGTGCCCATTCTTCCTCGGTGCCCTCAGGGGCCCTTTATGGCAACCCCACCTTCATGCCAGGGCGCAGGTCCCAGCGAGCACTTTCCTGAGGGATGCTCGCTCCCTCTGAGGAGGGTTTCAGAGCAGTCAGACCAGTTGTTCCCTGTCAGTGTGCCATTACAGGGCACTGTGTTTGCTACTCAAGTTACACCAGAGGCAAGTCTCGAGAGACCGGTACCCTTAGTAGAATTTCTGGCAGAGTGGAAAAGCCTTCCAAGAATATCTCATTGGGTCCTGCAGACAAGAAAAACTCTTGCAACCCTTGCAAAACCTAGCCCTACAGGAAAAGGGTTATGCTATCCAATGCAGGTGTTGTCCACCAAAATTCAGAGGGGTTCTGCCCACAGTGGTGGGCCCCGAGCAGACTATGGTAACGGAACAAGAGGTGAAAACGCTCCTTCAAAAGGAGGCTATTGAACTGGTTCCTCTTCCCAGTTTGGATTCAGGTTATTACAACCGATATTTCATCGTTCCAAAGAAGGATGCGGGGTTGTGTCCAATTTTAGACCTGCGCCTATTGAATCACTCAGTAGGGAAGCTAAAATTCAAGATGCTCACTATCAAGCAGATCGTGTCACAAATCAGATCCGAGGACTGGTTTGTCACGATATATCTAAAGGATGCATACTTACACATTTCCATCCTTCCACAACAGAGGAAGTTTCTGAGGTTTGCCTTCGGGGGCGAGGCATCATTTCACAAAATGCATGGATGCAGCAATAGTGCCTCTAAGGCTTCAAGGCATTCGTATCCTCAATTACATCGATGATTGGTTGATTTTAGACATTTCTGGGTGTCGTTTGGGATTCAGTTTCGATGCGGGCGCAACTCTCTCCGACCAGCATCGCTTTGATTCCCTCAGCTGTGAAACAAGTAAAGATAGGCCAGCTACTCACTGTAAAGCAGTTTCAGAGACTGTTAACGTTATACCCTGCAGTCTGATGTACATGAGACCACTACAGTGGTGGCACAGGACCAAGGGATTCTCCCCGAGGGGAAATCCACTCACGCGGGCGCTGCCTTCGTGCTCTGGGGCCTCATTTATAAAATTTTGCGTAGGATTTGCGTCAGAAGTGGCGTACGGATGAAACATAGGATGTGCGTACGCACAGAAATATTCGGATTTATAAAACCGTGCACACGCACATCCTAAGCATTTTTCCCTTAATAAATCACAATCAATTCTAAATGTTGCGCAGCTTTTGCGGCTTCATGTCACACCCATAGTTGCCCATAAATAGTCCGTGAAACGCCCACAAGTTAATATTCATCAATTGCGAAATCATGTTAAACACAGAGAGGAATCAAAAAAAATGTAACTTCACTCAATGTGAAGTAGAAGTTATCGTTGGCGAGGTGGAAAAGAGGAGAAAAATGTTGTTTGGAGGGCACAGTGTGGGCAAAATATATTTTTTCCACACCTTTTGTTGATGATGCGTTCACTCCGAATCCTTCCATTTAATCGCCACATCTTCTAAGAGCGCAATATCAGCCATTGTGCGTCATTAGGCTACACATTGTGATGATGGGGCATTTTATTTACAGTACATCCATTTCATTCTGCATCTGACAAGCTACGGATGTCGGTTATAATCTAAATGGGAAATAGTTCAGCGCAAATGTCTTGCAGCTTTACATTATTTTATCAAAAATAAAAACAAACTAAACGCATATACATGAATACCATGATTCCATAGCTGATGAAGATATTTTTATGATGAAAACAACTTTCCCCAGTGGACAAATAATAGGCCTACATCTATCTATTTATGGATCTATATCTCCCTAATTATCTATCTGACTGACTATCTACAGTAATTGCTATATATCTGCTCCATTAGACGGACATATTGGCGAGAATATCAGTTTTGTACATTATTTCGTTCTGTTTACCATCTTATTTATGAGGATGAATTGTATAGGCTATGCTAATATTATTGAAGAACAATATTATTTCTTTCTTTTTGGAAATATGTGTTAATTTGCATTTCTGTTACAGATCGATCAAACGGGTGTTCGTGTAGGCTGTTAATTGTAAGACTTGCTTTGTGAAGTCTTCGTGTTATTTATGAGAGGCAGTAGGCTATTGCCATTTATTTTACACAACCGTCTACAGTTTCACACACTTTCACGTGTTTTTTCCAACTGCCGACGGTGTCGCCATTTCTCATTTCACCCGTTTTTGTGCGTACGCCTGGGTCAGAGCTTGCGTGAAGGACCGCACATTTTACCATCAAGTTTGCTTTTTATAAATACAACTATTGCAACTATTACTGTGGTCCCAAGGGAAGTTACTATCACTGAGAACAATGCATCTTCCTGGGTGTGGTAGCAGACTCCCTGTTGAGGCAGGGGCCGAAACCAGGGGAATGGAGACTCCACGTTTCACGCCGAGGTGGACCTATTAGCTTCCTAGGAGACTACGCATCTGTGGTTCTCCATCAGTCATCCAGCGTCCCTGGGGTTGGACGCTATGGTGCAGCCGTGGCCGAGGTCACGTCTGTATGCCTTTCCCCCGATTTCTCTGTTACCAGGAGTTCTGGAGAGGGTTCAGTTCGGGACGGAGTCAGCCTACTACTAGTAGCCCCGTTCTGGCCGGCCCGAGTATGGTTTGAGGACATGATATCTCTCCTGGACGGTTCTCCTCTGGAGCTCCCGGTAAGGAGGGTTCTACTCGCGGGCGGCAGCCGCGGCATCAAATTTCACCCCCGCCCAGAATTGTGGAAACTGTGGGCTTGGCCTCTGAGGGGGCCCAGCTCATAGATTCCAGTCTCTCAATCAAGGTTCTTGAGACCATTATTCACTCCAGAGCTCCATCCACGAGGAAGCTATATGCCTTGAAGTGGAAACTTTTTACTTCTTAGTGTGGAGAACACCTGTAGGACCCAGTTAACTGCCCAGTGGGTGCAGTGCTGGAATTTCTGCAGGAGCGTTTCTCCACAGGGTTATCCCCCTCCACACTAAAGGGGTGTATGTGGAGGCACTGGCTGCTTACCACATCCCTTTCAGTGAAGTTTCTCTTGGGAGACACCCGCTTATAACTCGTTTCCTTCATGGCACATTGAGGCTGAGGGCAGCAGTTCGTACGAGGGTACCGACCTGGGATCTGGCCATTGTATTAGAAGGTCTTTCCCTAGCTCCTTTCGAACCTATCGAAGAAGTTCCTGAGAAATTTCTCACTTTTAAAACTATCTTTCTTCTTGCTATCTCCTCACTAAAAAGAATCAGAGATTTGCAGTCTCTGTCGTTTGCACTCTCATGCCATGAATTTTCGCCTGGTATGGTTAAGGCTTTTAAGGCTGTACTTTAGGCCAGGTTACGTTCCCAGGTCCCTACTAATGTTGTTAGACCTACAGTTCTGCAGGGTTTCTTTCCTCCTCCATTTCTGTCGTTAGACCAGGAAAAACTTAATTTATTCTGCCCTGTTAAGGTGATAGACACTTACCTCCACAGAGCTGCCCTGTGGAGGTAATAAAAACAATTATTTGTGTGTTTTGGGTCACCCAGGAAAGGGTGTCCTGTGTCTAAACAGAGAATGAGCAAGTGGGTGGTCGAGTCGGCTGCCTATGACGTTCTGTCTCTCCATTGGGCTGATTCCATACGTGCTTCATAACTCACAACGCAGGGGCATTCCCACTGTGTTCGATGCAGCGTCTCGTTCCCTTTCAGGGAACTAGTGTTACATATGTAACCGAGACGATTTTCCTTCATATAAGACAGCTCAAGCAAATTTCATTCACTAAATCACAGTCAGAAAGGATATTTAAATAACATATAATTCAAATGATGCAATGTGGCACAAATAAATCAAAAGGGAGTCAAATTTGTACTTCTATTTATTTAAATATGAGAGGCCATGCCTGCAGTGTGTCATGAAACCTGTGCTAATAAAGGGCTTTGTTTACACAACACCCTTTTTCCTAACAGTGTAAAACTGTTTACTGCCATTCATTTCCATGAAAACAGCAGTTTGGGAATACATACTGAAAACATGACTTTTGAAAATGGGATTCAAAGTGCAAGTTTTTGAAAACAATACCCGACAGCAAACTGACATTGAATCAATGTGGAAACGACGTCTCTCATGACATTGAAACAACGTTGATTTTGCTCATCGAATTAACGTTGAACCAACGTCAGACGCGGCATTCTTCAAAGCTAAATGAAAATCTAAAATTGGTTTGCTTTCATAACGTTGAAACAACGCATTGATTTCAAGTTGATTTTCCGTTAATTTTGAAAGAATGACGTGTCTGACGTTGGTTCAACGTTAATTCGATGAGCAAAACAATGTCAGATCAACGTTGTTTCGATGTCATGTTTCTACGTTGATTCAATGTCAGTTTGCTATCTGGGTACTGTTATTGCCTCTGTGTAAACTACAATAAAAGTGAATTTGTGAAAACGGTGATGACATATGCATGGATATTATTTGTTCAATCTATAGGCGCATAGAGTTTCTTTACAAAGAAATTAGTGTTTGAGTAATTTTCGTGGATCCGTGCCAACAGGAATCGTTTTTACAGGGTAATATTTATATGTATATAACTGTGTGAAAAACCATTCTCAACTCTAGCCCTCAAAGTTCACATTCCTGCAGCGTTAAGGTCCAACCCTAATCAAACACACCTGAACAAGCTAATCAAGATCTTCAGGATTACTAGAAGGTTGGAGGTGAGTTTAATGGTGGAGGTCAACTCTGAAAGAAAGTGGATCTCGAGGGCCAGAATTGAGAACCCCTGGTCAAAAAGTGCTATAATGGAATGGCAAAGTGAAAGTTCCTCTATACAAGTGAGTGGATGTTATATGAAATTTGACTCTCAACTCATTTACATGTGTTTAAATATTGTTCAGCCTGTAGATGGCACTACATCATTCATGTTTTTTTTTTTTTTTTTTTACTGAAGTACTATAGTCTGGTCAATCAAATTATTATTCATGTTATTAGATATTAGGGAGATTGATTTGATTAATATTGATTTATTGTGGTTCCCTTATGTCAACCATAACTCTGCATTATTTTCTGCAAAATGCTTGTTTCCAATATTGAGAGAAGTTTATCTAGCTGTTCATTCCATTCCTTTTTACTTCACTTAATCTTGAATATATTTTAAGGGTCCTTCACACACAATAGGCTCTACTTTACTAAAAGGTCCTCATAAAATACTGATTCTACTCTTTGCTAATGCAACCTCAGGTTCTGTGCCAGGTAAATGAATGTATTCATTCCTTTAATAATTGAGAAATATTTCAGCTGACACAGAATATATAAATGAGTCAGGTGAAAAGGCAGCAGCAGCTTATAAACCTGGGTACTTTGAAATTAATTCTTGTGCTATCAATGATAGCCCCCATTCATTGGAAAAAAAAAATATATATAGGTGAATAAAGCATCAACTGTTGGGCTTGTCCTGAAAATTTACATTCATCACAATCTGCGGTTTTAGCTTCTCTGATGGCACTAAAACTTGGTATGGTTTAGGCACTATTAACACAAACATTACATCACAGGAGGACTGCAGTAAGGTACTTTGCATTTGATTCTCATTCATGACCTTTACAACTGTTAAATTGTTGCCAGTAACACAAACACACACACACTCACACAAACAAACAAACAAGCACACACACAAACACACACACACACACACACGCATGCACACACACACACACACACGCACACACACATACTGTGCTTCATGGAGGTGGGGGTAACTTGACATCCAAGAGATTGTAAGCGAAAATGTTCCAGAAGATTCCACAGAGGATAAATATTGTGTAGACACTAAAGAAGATCCAGAACAAGGACTGTTCCTGTAAGCGCTGTTCATAGTTCTGAAGAACCACAACACCAAGGGTGAGGCCCACTGCCACACCCCCCAGATGGGCCACAAAGCTGGTATTAGGGCAGGGTGGGAAAGCTGGGGGATAGAATCGGAGCCAGACGGCACGACCAAACTCCACACTCACTGTAAATATAGAAAATGCTTAGTTTGAGGGGTAGAATCTATATCAGGTGCTGGTTATATTAGAAATTTCAGTAAATACAGCAAATCTTCAATAAAGTAAACTTAAAAGTGTATGAAGTCATTTTTTGTTTATGTTTCTGTTTTTTTTTTTGGACTTATACTCACAGTGGATGAAGAAAATATATTTATTCAAAAGGCTACAGTTTTCAATGTCATTGTAGAAATGTTCTATTTGCAGGTATTTGGTAACTTTTATCATTTCATAATGTCTGATACTAGGGGTACTGTCAAGATAAAGTGAGTTATATACAGAATATATCTGTTGAAAAAAGTCACCATCAGAGAATGGAAAAGTTTAGTTCCACATTTTAGTTCTTGAAATAACTAGGGATACATTAATAATAAAATTCAGTCTGATTCGGATAAACTGATAACTGATAAATTAACCATATTAAAATTCTGTAGAATTTCTTGTTGAATGGGGTAATTTAGGAATTACATCACTATAAATTGATTTTTTTGAGATTTACATTAGATAGCATTATTAAATTATTGTTATTTTTAAAGATTAACTTTAAGTGAGATCTTAATCTAAACATAAAAGTAAAGGAAATGAGAACACACAATTAAAGGTGATGCATGTAATTTCAGAGATGGCAGAATCTACCCGAACTAAAAAGCCTTAACATCCATCTAAAAAGATCTATGTCCAGAGGCAAATTAAAAAGCAGAAAAATCAACTCATCAACCAACAGTAGCCGTGTTTCCATTACAGATTTGAACAAAACGTTTGCGATATTTTCCAAATGTCGATAAAAAAAAAAAAATATTATATATATATATATATATATATATATATTGTGAAATGGCTTTGCATTAACCGATGTTATGCAACTACGGCATCATTTTTTCCTTGCGATAAGCAATTCCAAAAATCATGGCAACGGATGTTGGAAGGTTTATGTATATCCCAGCCACCGGACTAGCCCTTACTTTCAATCGAAGGAGACGTATGCGAGTTAATGGCAAGGAAAGCCTCTTATACTTGGGAGCGGCACATATGAGGTGTTTTTCCCTCCTATCTGCTTCAAGGTTTTGAAAAATTGCGGCAGTACTTTGTTGTTTAGAATCCAGAATTCCTGTGATGCTTGTCTTTTATGAGTTTAATAAAAACCTGTCTTGTCTTCTGTCCAAATATACTGCGCTAAATACTAAATAATGATCGACTTTTATGTATGCCAGATGACCTGTAAATGTGAAAAAAAAAACACTGTTTACATTGAAGTTTGGCAAAATATTCCTTTTTCAAATTACCTGACAAACCGCCTCAAGTGAGTGTAAAACCGTTTTTGCAATTTATGGGAGTTTTTTGCTAAATGTATGTGCTTCCATTGGGTGTATTTTCAATTCGTGCAATTTGAAGGATAATGAATACACGGCTAGTGTGAGGCTCGTCGCCTTCCATTGTCAATTGTGCTCATTCCTGTTTTGTGTCTCTCAAACTGGCAACCCGCATGAACATTGAGTCTTGAGGAGGAGGGGGCAGGAGAAACAGCTCTCTCCAATATTTTAAATTTGGTTTGAAATGCAATCTGTCGATTTTACATACGTCACCTTTGAAAATTCAATAAATGAAATAATTTCTAATTTGCTGATGACTATTATGGTACCAATTTATTTTGCATCCCTTGAAAGTCCCTAGACTTTCAATATTTTATATTTGAAGAGTTCAGATGCAAAAGCCTCTAAATGCCATTTGAAATTATCTTCTTTAATGATGATTTTTATCAAACTTGTATATTTAAGTTCAGTAATTTCACTTAAATAACAATTAATAGGTAATTATCATTGCCATTTAAGTGAAATCACTGAACTTAAATATACAAGCTTGATAAAAATGATCATTCTAGAAGAAAATTTCAAATGGCACTTAGAGGCTTTTGCATCTGAACTCTTCATTTCCAGCAAAAAAAAAAATAATAATAATAATTTTTAGCATAAGTAACATAAAAACAGTTTACATACTGCACACCAGAGCCATTGCCATGCGAAAGAGCTTGAACTGACACTTCATCCCTGACCAGTTCTGTAAAAGCGAGGGAGAGAAACAACAAATTAGGAGATAAGAGTACAAAGTTGGTAGTAGGTAAGAGAGAAAGCACATAGGTATTCTTTCTTAGACTGTTCTGGTGTTGTTCCAGGGAATTGGTTTTGGTACTCCATTTAATCAAGGTTGCTTCAAACTGAAATGAAAATTTGTTCTGGCATTTTCCGTGATGATGTGACGATCAGAGCTGGTATAGGGGGAAGCATTAGCTCCTGTGACACATAAGCTAATTCAAGGTTAGTCTTGCTGTTTTGTGTGTAATATTCAAGTCAGTTTTGACCAGTTCTGACCTAAAGAGAGATCAGTTTTTGTGAGGACAAACTATGTGTAATCTGAGTCCTGAACATGTAACAGTGCTGACACAAAAAAATCTATCTGAAAAGCTGAGCAAGTACAGGATGGTTCATGATCTGACCAGGGAGAACTGTGTACAGACCCAATGTTAATATTTAATGACTGTGACCAGGTCATCATGCAGTACAAAATATCTCCATTCACTTAGAGATAAGGTCTAAGTTTTAGGGAGCAACAAAGAGGTCTTTACGAAAAAGAGGGAGGGGCAACATAAAAGACTTGAGTTTAACATGCATAGATCATATAATAACAAGAGCCTAACAATCTTTCAACTATTTGATAATGTGAGAATATTAATGAGCCTAACAACAGCTGTGTATAAAATAAAGGCAAAATTTAAACAGGACCTGAATGAAGATTGAAGTCTATAACCACTATATGGCACCATTGTGATACATTTATTTTTTTATTTCTAGGCATTATCACAAATTGATGCTGAAGAATTTTCATTTTCTAGAGCAAACCTGATCACAATTCCTCAAAAGAAAAATAGTGATTTCTCTATTACCATGACGACATTGGCGAGGTGGGCAGAGACCAGAGCATAGACTCCCCCTGATGATCCAACCACAGGTGCTGTCATGTCCGTCACTGATACAGCCAATGAACCTGCAAGAAGACAATGCAGACATGTCACAATAACACAAACATGTTGAGGTTATTTTCACTAATACTTTCTCTTTCTTAGAAACTGGAGCCAAAATCACTTGAAATTAATCCATTGTTAACAATTGAACAAATTATGGAACATATGAGTCAAGAGATGGCAGACTGAAAGAATATCAGTGAAAAATTACATGCATTTGGAAATAAATAAGTAAAGGATGACAAAATTGTAATTTTGGTTACACCTTATGTTACTGTAGATGTATTTAATTAAATATTCTTGCATAAAAAATGCAAGATACAATGTACTTATTGTGTTTATGTTATATTGCAAAACACTTTTGCTGCTATTGAGGAGGGAGGTAAGGTTAGAGACAGGTTTAATGTTATGGTTAGGTTTAAGGGTGGGTTAAGGTGTAATGGAAGGGTCCGCAGTATACTTGTAATATGTAGTGTATCAGCAGTGTAATTATAGATGTAATTACAGAAATTAATTACAGCTTTTGCAACATGCAGGTATTTTTTTTAAATATTGACTGTTGTCAGTATGCATGTAACTTTCATCAGAGACACTCGCTCCATCTCTGATCCGGTATAGCCTATTTAGAGGGAAATATCTTTATTCTTCAGTTCTGCTTAATGCGTATAAAACATGAACAAAACTCTCATCGTCTATATCAAACCGTTTCATTAAAGAGTGGCATGAGAGTGTAAAATTCGTTCTAACCAGACAACCTGGGGAGATTGAGGATTTTGTATCAACCCTAAGTACAGTCCTTCTCAGAGGTCACAAGTTTGGGTCTCCTTCCTGACACCTCCTTTATACAGATAAAGGATTTATTTTCAAATATTTACAAAATGTATATTTTCGGTTTAAATTGTACTCTGTGGAGGGGGAGCTGGTGTGGTGTGGGCAGTCAGACTGCCAGCAACATATGAGAAGTGCTGGTCTTCTACATGTGTACCAGTGCCCATTTTGAGCACTGTAACGAAAACAAAATATGCTTCTGAGGAAAATCAGTCATCAGGGTCTCGTTCTTCGTACGTTGCTTAAAACATCCGAGATCAAATGAGACATCTAAGATAATATCATCGTGCTAATCATGATCCGGCTAATTGGGTTCTTCGAACACACCTGTTGTTTATGATTAGTATCGCTGGATTGAGTTATCTGAGATAACTGCACATTCTCGCGTTGGTTTAAAAGGGGACATGTATCGATAGCAGAACCAGTGATCAGCAACGCTGCTATTGGCTGTTCAGCATGGCCAAAGAACACGCCCAGTTTCTCTCCCAAGCAGAGCAAGCGCTTTTAATGCAAGGTTATGCCGAATTTCAGTCTTTAATTAAAACGCCAGGAACACCTCAAAGTGAGCAAAAGCCAGGAGAGAGTAATGGCAAAAGTAGAAGACAAATTAAATGTGTTTGTGGTGGCCATGTTAGATGTTTTAATAACTTATTATTATTATTTTATTTTTATTTTCATAATTTCATAATTACTTTGTTCATTGTAATGTCGAGTCACCACACTATAATAATGGACATGGTGAAAGTGAAGTAGGCTACAACAATATTCTACTTAATGGTAATTTTACTAGGCCTTATAGGCCTACTAGTCTCTTTTAAAAAGGCACTGTTAAATAAATGATTGTCTGTTTATAAAAGCAACCAGGAAAAAGGCTGAGAAAAAAATAATAGCCTATGCTTCTGACCCTGGCAGAAGAGCTGACCCTTAATTGGGTTGAATGTGAATTGCCCTGTTGTGAAGGCCATCCCTGGGTTCAGCTCTTCCAGACCCACATCAGGGACCAGTAGCAGCAACACCTTCATTACTGGGAAATAAGATTTAAATTATGTTTGTACACTGTGAAATAATTTGTTGCTGCATTAAATGAAGTAGACCTATAATCCAAATTGGCTGGTTTAGTAATTTCAACTGCAAATCTTGAGTAATGATAAATTGCTTTGTCTTGTGAAAGTAAAAACTGATAAACTTATGTGAATGTAAAAATAGTTTGTTATTAATCACATTGCACTGGAGAGTGAAGAAAACTTCTCAGATGACTGTCCTTTGGAGGAAGTACATTAATTTAATTGATGGCTTTAATTGATTTATACTTGTGCCTATTATTTCTGACAGGAGTCCACATGTACAGAAAGGCCTACAGAAGAGTCTGCACACAATGATACAGGGGTGGGCAGTGTAGAGACAACTTTTCCTTTTTGTTGCATAAGGCATGTGTGACACAAACAACACGGGGTTAAATTCGTTCCCTATATGAGTCTTCAACAGAAAATAGAGTATTTTTAAAAAAACAAAAATGAGGGGGAGAAATAGAACTTGACTAAGAAAAAATTGCACTAGAAAGAGAGTTGCTTCAAAATAAACTTCAGAGTAAAATACACTATTTCACACAGAGTACTATTGCTGACCTTGCATAATATATTTTAAAAAGATGACTGAATAACTGGCTTTTCTTTACAAAGAACTATTGAAATAAAACTCTGAGCAAAGAGTTTTGCAAATTTGTCTTGTCTTTTATTTTAGGCTTAATTAAACTTTTTTTTTTCTTTTTCTGATGTTGGCAGTGTTGTGTAATATGGCACATGCAATGTCACAGGCCCTGTCAGGTGCAACCCTCAGGCTTTTTAGACCCTGAAATCTTCCCTTTAGTTGGCCAAAGCTCATGTCATTGTGTGCCCTTGTCCTAGAGCTGCATTGTAACTGGTCTGGGGTTTGGATCAGGGAATGGGGTCATAAAACACCTGTCTCCATGTAGGATCCTGTTGTAATCACCTGTTTAATGGAAAAATGCAGTTCTCAGCATAAGTGTATGTAATACCGTGAGTTTGATATTTATAATTTTCCTTACCACGTTCAAATAATGTTCATAAATGTGAATCTCTGAAAATTCTTGAGTCATGCACAGATCCTGGCCATTTTGCTTTCACACTGACTTGTGATATGGAACATGGTCACACACACCATCTAAGAGATTTTACTCAGTCAACTGCCTTTTAAAAAAAGTGATATAATATTACTAATCTGGAATATTAAAAATTGTAATAGTAATTTGGCTGCACATTTACAAAAGCCCCCTCTCTGCTCACAAAATCCCTTCATTGAGGCCTTAATGGGAACATGTGTGCAGTCTACCGTGTATGGCACCAATCACGTAAGCCTGAGGGACTGTAAGTCATAATCGGCATGGTCATCATGATTGCATTATCTTCATTAAAAATTATAATATACCCTAAGTTGGCAAAAAAAAAACAAAAAAAAAACTAAGAGTGCTAGGTAAACTTTGTGAATGGCACTGCCACGAAAGAAAGCTTATCACTTTCTCCGCATCTCCAATAGTGTAAAGGAAGCCACTCGCAAATAATTAGGGCAATGCAAACATTTTGTGCTGTTGTTGAAGCCCGACATCGAATCGAACATTAATGTGCATTTCCAACAAAATAATAATGTATTTAAACGACACCCTCACGGCGATCGTTTCACGAGAAAAAAAAAAAAAATCTCAGAAATTAGGCTAAGTTATCGCGCTGCACTAAAGGACTTCCCGTATCAGCCACGATCTAATCCTGTTTACATGAAATAAGCCTGCTCGCGAGCAGGTTCAAGCTGACGAACCTGTTGCTATGACAGCAAGTCCAGGATGAGCTTCGAAGAACCAAACTATCCAAGATCATGGCAAATCGCCAACAATCAAATCCAGCTAACTGAGTTAGCGACGTATGAAGAACGAGCCCCAGGTTCTGACCAACACAGAAAACTGAACTACAACATGTGTCAAACCCACCCAAAACAGAACTTACCCATAACAAATACAACTGAAGAAAAGAGCAACAGGTTAATAAGTGTAAAAATGTAATGGCTGTATGCGGAGATGAAAGCAAACTAGTTTAGCAAATTAGTTACTAATCAGTGATCAGTCTCGTCCAGCTGATCCCATTTAGTTCCTTCATGTACCTTGTGTATAAAACCTTCTGTTTGGTTCAGTTTGCTGTTGGTCATTGTCTATGTTTTAGTGGTTGTGTTTCTATCAGTGGATTTAATAAAGACTGTTGTGTTTATTCTCCTTCATTATGCTATTTATCTACACAGCCAGATCGTAACACAAACACACAACCTCTGATTACTATATCAAGTTTCTCTGCAGAGAGTGGCAGTGTCTTATAAAAATGTAATTACAGGATGTACAATCAAACTCGCAAAACCCCATTGTGATCAGACCTACACACTGCTGCTGCTGATTGCCGTGTAAGAATGTGAAATACTAGTAGACGGAAGTGACTTAGTGACACCTCAATGTGCTGTTCCATCTTTATTTGGTCACATGCACATTACTGTATAGCTGCGATGCTTAAGTGCACACATTTTTAATGTACTAACAGCCTATCTACCGTATGTGGTAATAATGTACATTTTGGGTGATTTATTTGCAATAAAAAATAAAAGAACTTTATTCCTTTTCATACCACCAGATATTAAAAGCATTGTTCACAAAAAATAAATAAATAAATAAATAAAATCATTATTTACTCACCCTCGTGTGAGTTACACAAAGATGTAAACACATATCAACGCCCAACGCCTGTGATGAGAGGACTCAACGCCTGTGAAGAGACGACTCAACGCCCGCGATATGTTATGGCGCCGTTTGATTCATAAACAATATTTATTTAATATTTATATTTAAACAATATGAATGTAAGCCAGAGGAGAACTGGCCCCCGACTGAGCCTGGGTTCTCCCAGGTTTTTTCTCCATCCAATCTGATGGAGTTTGGTTCCTTGCCACTGCTTGCTTGCTTGCTTTTGGCTTGCTTTGAGCTTGCTCAGTTGGGGTTATTTAGTGTTTAGCAATGTTGTTGATCTATGTTGTGCTACTTTCATGTTATCAGTG